AAACGCAGTCACTGTTTCTGCACAGGAGGCGGGCAGCTCATGAGGAAGGGGCTGGTGTGGTCATTTAGCACTTGCCCTTTTTTTCTGTTTGGCTTTTTTTTTCTTTTAGTACCAGGCATTGAAACCAGAACCTTCACACAGAGCTACGTCCTCAGCTTAAAAACAAAAAATATGTATATTTTTTTGAGACAGGGTCTGAAGTTACTAAGTTGCTTAAGCAGGACTTGAACTTGTGATCCTCCTGCCTCAGCTTCCCAAAGTGCCAGGATTACAGGTGTGTGCCACTGTGTGCGGCTAGTTTTCCCTTGTAACCATGCCACTGGGCAGGGTTTTAGTTTTAACACCTTGTTCCTCCTCCTCTCTGCTGCAGAGCCCAGTGCATCTCATCCTGAATCCAGGTGTGACTGGTCTGGGCTAGGAGGGACATGGGCCTGGCTCTTCCCTGGAGACTGAGGTCACCTTTGCTGTCCCTCAGCTGGCAGGACTGCACCCACTGGGATGGCTGTCAGGCTCCACTGTGTTGTGCACATGAGTGGCCACAGGCCTGACACACAGGACTCCCTCGCCTGCCCCAGGAGGGGACCCAGCCCTGGGGTGGGCAGAGCTGCAGCTCAGACCCCACCCCTTGAGAAGAGCTGGCTAATTGTGTGTGGATGAAAGCAGAAGATGCGACACAGGGCAAAGCCTGGTCCAGGGATGGGGAAGTGGGCAGCGTCTGCCACGGGAGGGCTCAGCCTCCCCATGTGTGTGCATGACAGTCACATAAAATGACAGATCAACACAGACTTCTAGGACAGATGCAGAGGTGTGGATTGCGCATGGGTGCAAGTTTGCCATCTCTACCCTGGGCACTTCCCATCCACTCAAGGGCTCACTCGAGGTCTCCACTATGATCCATCTCTCTCCTTCCCAAGAATGGCCTGGCAACAGCCAGCTAGGGATTATTCACTGCTTGGCTCTGCAAGGAGAGGTAGCACCCGTCTTAATTACACTTTGGTAATCTCTTTTTAATTACTTGCCTCCTCTACATCCCCTGGAGGAATGGGATGGCTGGTATCCTATTTAATGAGCATAAGGATGATGCATTCACGGCCCCTATTATTTGTTACTTCTCTTCCCTTCCATCAAACAAACCCCAAGATTAAACCTCAGAGGGATTTTTGATGCCCAAGCTGGATTTCTCCTGCAGCCTCCCTGCCGCTCGGTTCACCTGGCTCCAGAGTTGGTGGAGATTCTATGCAGCCTAGAGTGTACCCAGAGGTACCCAGAATGAGGTACCTACTTCTCTGTAGCAAAGGATGAAGCACTCTGGAGACCCGCAGCTGCTCTGATTGGTGGATAAACAGGACAAACAAAATTCCCATATACGCTGTGATTGGCCATGACCAGAACAGCTGTGATTGCCTGTCACATGGGGGTCAGTCTGTCATGCAGCCCATGAGTCCCTCACCCAACCTGTCCCCTGGTAAAGGCACATTCATCCCATTCACCTCCACTTGGATTTGTGCCTCTCGGCAAGGTGTCCCCATCTTCTGAGGCCAGCCTAGTTGGCACCAGCAGGAGTGTGGGCAGAGGCAGTGCAGCGTTCAGGCTCTGCCTATAGAGCCAACTCTGGGGGCTCGGTGGCAGCCCACCTTGTCACTTTCTCTCTGAGCTCACCTCAGGCTATGAGAAAAGTGCTTCCAGGGTGCAGGTAGCTCCCGGTGAAGGAGACTGGCTGGAGGGGCTGGTGGGGGTGAGAGCTGAGGCTGGCCCTTAGCTCCTCCATGCTCCGGTCCTGGGCAGGTGTTTGGTTTGGCAGCCTGGGCACCAGAACCAGCCTGTCTTCACCTGCTGCTTGGCCACCTCTCCTGGAGGTCTCTTGGAGAGGGCTCCTTTGCCCACAGCACTGACTCCACTCCTCTAATCAGGGGAGTGAGGACCTAGGCACCAGATCTGGTCACTTCCACAACTCCACTATCCCCTCACAGCAGGGCCCTCCCTCTGCCATGGGACACCAGAGCCCGACACACGACACAACATGTCACTCTTCCTTGTCTGTCTCCCTGTGCAGGCCTGAGGCACCTGGAAGGCACGGACTGCATCTATCTGCCCTGTGTCCGGGATGCAGGCCCACAGGAGAGCCATGCAGATGGAGAAAGGGCTGGAGAAAGACACAACCACCACACAGCATGCTGGGAACATGGCCCGGAGAGGGTGCTGAAAAAACAGCAGGACCAGCCAACAGGTGGGAAGGCACAGGCTCAAGAATCAGCAACAGCCACAGATCCAGGGCTTTAGGGTGCAGGATGGGGGGGTGGTGAACAGGAAGATCTGTGTTTAAATCTTTCCCAACAATTCCATTTTATTTTGATATGGACATAAATTAACCTTGATACAAATAAAATGTTTTTTAAAAAGGACTCACAGCGGCACACGTGGTCTGTTCACTACCCCTCCCTAGGGAGGTGGGCGCAGAAGAGGGTGGCCTGGGGGCTTACGCAGCACAGAGATGTTCACATGGCTGGGCCTGGGGTTCCAGGCTTTTCTTCAAAGTCATCAGTATGTTCCAAATAGTGTGTGAGGGACACAAAAGACTTCTACAAATACTAGCTGAAGCCATATGCAATTATCAATATCCAATCATGAGTGATTTTTAAAATGATGATTTCAACCCAACAAAAAAAAATTAAAAATAAATAAGGGACTGCTTTCAAGATCAATAAAAAAGACACCTATTCTTTGGCCCCATTTATTTCATTTCTTTGGAAAGAATCTAAAACGGGGATATAGATTTACATATAAAGTGTTCACTGCAGAGTAAATTACAGCTGCAAAGGCTTGGAAAAAAACAATCTAACTGTTTAAAAATAAGGGAGTCAATGAAATGCTTTGTAGACATTGTAATTGATGTTTGGAAAACCTTTAAGTGACATGGTGTAATATAACATTAAGTGAAAAAAGATAAGAAACCCAATAATGTCACTCTGCAAAAAAAAAAAAATTGCAAAGCATTAAAAACAGAAAAAAAAAAATCAGATCCTCAAGGTAGTGTGGCCACAGGATGAACATGCACCCAGAAGCCGGACCTGCCTGCCCCCTCGCTGGGGGTGCTGGGGTTTCTTGGAGTTGCCTGACCCCCTCCTTGCTAGGAACAATGACTGGACAAGAGCCCAGTGCTTAGCAGCTCCCCAGTTGAGGCTTTTCTCGTCATCATACCATGACTGTGGGGTTCTGATGACTGCCGTGTATTTCCCTGCATTTCCCAAACTTTCTGCAATGAATATGCATTTCTTTTAAAACCACAAAAAGTATAATCATTAAAATGACTGAGGCTCATCATAAGGAGAGCAAAGACAAGTCACAGATCAGGCAGAGGTATTTGCAACTCACCTAGCGACAAAGGACTAGAGTTGTTTTTTTTCCCCCTGGAATTTGCAAACCGGGAAATTTGGGTGGCCGACAACACAAGTGTTGGTCTTTACCAATGACCAGATAGATCCCTAGGGTTGGCGGGGCTGGGGCACCTCAAGAGTTTCCCTGAACTGCAGGTGGGAGACTACACTGGTAGACTGGTACACTGCCTGGGAAGCGGGGCATAGGCTTGGCACCAGCAATTCTGTTGGAGTAGCCCCTGTGTGCTGCTGGTGGTGCCTGTTTTGTAAGAGAGGAAACTGAGGACAATGTACACATTCAACCTCCCTGATACTGGCCGGCAGCTCATTCTTTCACAAGAATAGGCTCATTTAATTGGATTTTTATAGCCACTTCAGTGAACAAACTAAAGCCAACATATTAACATGCATACATCTTAACACATAATACCAAGCAAGAAAAACCTAACTGCAGCAAACGTTCAAGATAACATTTATGTATATAGCATTTATGTAAAGTTTTAAAACATAACAATAGAATATATTCAAGAGCAGCCATCTGAATGGTAAGATTGGAAAAACAAATCACAGAAGGCAAGGGTTTAGGAGCCTGGAGGCAGGAGCCAGATTTCTTGGGTTAACAGACTAGATATGCTACTTGCCCACTATCTAGTTTCTCTGTGCCACTGTCCTGATCCATAAAACAGGGATATTAATAGCTTGTGCCTCACAGCACTACCAAAAGAATGAGATGCCCAGCAGCTGCCACAGGAAGTACCCCAGGGTGTTTGCTGCTGTTTCAACTATTAACCTCAAACCTTAAGAAAGATGGAGATATTTGCCCTAGCAGCTTCATTTCCATGAATTCATGCCAGATAAATGACCAAGCACTTGTGAACTGAAGTGTTTATCATACCATTATACATAAAAGCAGAAGACTGGAAATGCTTAAGCATTTTCCCGCCAAGTTGTTGCGGCCCTTCCCTTCCACAAATGCAGGGACCAAGGCACCTGTGTGTCCCTGCTCCCTCCACACAGCGCTCTGCCCAGGATGGTGGCCGAAGGCTGAAGGCTGGTTGCAGTGAGGCTGTATGTGTGACTGGTGAGGTTGGTCAGTTTGTGTGCAAAGATGAGAAATGGCCTGGGAATAAGTGGTGTGCACAGCCAGAGAGGACGGGGGCAGGAAGGATGGAGAGCTCTGTGGTGGATCACCTCTCCTCCTGGCAGCCCTCCCTGCCTCTCCTGGGGCAACTTCCTCCCACTTCAACCCATGGCCTCCATGCTCACCCCTCCAGAGCATTGCCATCCATGGGGACCCCACTGTTCTGAACAGGATTGTCTTGTGGGACCTAAGATTCCTTGGAACTCTAAGCTACCAGACAGAAGCAAGCTCCCAAACCTCACTGGAATAAAATAAAATAAAACAAAACAAAAAATTTAAAAAATCTTTCCAATAAAGTAGAGGATGCACATTCACTTTCTAATACTGTATGTAGAATTCGTACCAATTTTTCATTTTCAACAAGTTAATTACGTGAGGTGATTGCCAACTTATCTGATGTACTTATAATCCATTACCCATTTTGTAAAAACTAATTTTAGCTTCTCCCTTCACAAAGAGATGCGTAAGTGCTGCAGATGCCTCACCTCCTCTCAGAAACAGCCGAAGTTCTCAAGAAAATACTTCCAATGTATGTAGGGTGTTAGGTGAATTCTTAGTTTCCTCAAAAAATAATGGAACTGGCTGTCTGTTAGCTTGTAGCAGAAATCCTTAAGCACTTGTCCAAAATCTGTAGCCTTCACAAACCCCGTGTCTTCTTTGTCCAATGCAGAAAATGCCTAAAAAAAAAAAAATTAAAGAAGAAAAAAAAAATTAAAGAAGAAAAAGATAGCAAATGCTACGCTCAAGTGAATATTTCAAAACTATTTTCTTTGAGCATCACTTCTGCAGAATGTAAATGAAATCTAGTGTATGTGACCTAGTGTAGCAAGCTCCAAATTACTAAGTAAGTGCTCCATTGTTGGAGGACTAAGACAATGGGGACGTGCGCAGGAGACTAGAGTGTTTTGTGCCGGAAATTCATCTCATTTGTTCCTGTGAGGCCAGGAGGAAGATGGTGAAGGGGACCCTGGGTGTGGCACCTCCCCTTCAGGTCCCAGGACCCTGTTCACCAAGGACAAGGAGAGCAACCTACTCATGGTCTCCTGGCCTTGAAGCACAATGCCTTGTAACAGGGCACTCAGGAGGGGCCCAGGGCAGGGTGCAGGGGTCTGTCAGGCAGCTGATTTGGCACTGCCGAGGCAGAGGGTCACGAGTGGGTCCTCAGCCAACCGCCCCGAGTCAGGCTTCTCCACTGAGAGTATGTGACCCCACTTCTCCATGGCCACAGACTGCGCAGCCCCCAGCCTCATGAGCAGACCCCGCTGTTTGGTGTGGGTGGCAGGGGCTGGGGCCACCCTGTGTATCCAGCCTCAGAGTAGTCAAACTGAGAAAGTGCAAAAACGTGCTATAAAAAGAGAGCACATTTTTTTCCATCTGTTGAAGCAAAATCATTCATTTTTATTGCACTAGGAAATCTGTATGAAGTGGTAGATTAAGATCTTTTTTAAAGTAAGAATTTTATGTGCCTGAATACTCCACACCAAATTCCCTTTCCGTTAATTCTCATTCCAGGCTAATTAGGCACACCCCAAGGATGGTACTTGTGTGGCCAAATTAACCTTAAAATACTATGCCGTGGTAGCTTGGTTCAACCAGAATCATGAAACAAATTAAGTTCATGAACCAGAGAACCACTATATAGCTTCAGAACTGCATTTTGCCTGTAGTAATAGGAGACAGGGATGTATACTGGGGGATCCCCAGACCCTGCAGCCAGGAACTGATCTTCAAACCTGGGCTCTGCTGCTAACCATCAGTCCTTAGCCTCTCTGGACCTCAGCTTCTTTGTTCCAAAGGTGGACAAACTCAGAAGGTAGCTGTGAGCCTTACGAAGTCTACTGGAAAATGCAGATATTAGGTACCTGGCACATACTAGATTCTCAACATGTACTAAGAATGAACATAAAAATGAATGTGGCAGGACAGGTGTGGTGGCACATGCCTGTAATTCCTGGGCAGCTTAGTGACTTAGTGAGACCCTGTATCTGAATACAACAGTTTTAAAGTTAAAAAGGGCTGGGGATGTGGTTCAGTGTGAAGGCCCTGGGTTCAATTTCCAGTTACAACCCCCCTCCCCTCCGCCATATGGCAAACCAAGGAGTCTGTTGTACAAGGACATCAGAAACACCTAAGAGACCACTGTGTTCCAGGTCTTTCTGTGCTGGATCTGTGTGTAAATCCAGCCTGCCAAGGCAGGGGTGAGTGCAATAATCAATTGTGAAAATGCTTCAGAATCTGTAAAGTGTTCCCTAACGAAGAGGAACTGATCTGTCATTAGAAGTAAGACAAACGTGAGACATTGCAAAACACATGTGTCCCATGTCCCCTTGATGGCCATCCTGAGATGATGGATCACTCCTTCCTCCCTCCCTGCCCGGTGCCCTCTCCCTGAAGCCTACCTCCCACGCTCTCACTGGAGAAATCCCTGGCCCACTGGGAAGATCAACGCTCCACAGACAGACCCACCACTCCTCCCAAGTTTCCGTTACATCAACTGGGGCTGCTTTAGATTATAAGGGGATAAAGCCATCCTGTGGATGGATTTATTTGGCTTTCACAGTGCTTTTGAAAACCCCAAAGGACATGCTGACATTTAGAAATCAAGAAACTTTGTAGCTTCTCCTGAAAATGACCAGATTTGGCAATGCCTGCTGCTTTTGGCTCAGCATGGTCCACTTAGCAAGGAGAAACTGCCGTGGATGGAGCCGTGCTGCCTGGAGGGCTGAGGTGCCACTGTTCAGTCCACTCCCGGGCCCTGGGAACATCTGAGTATGCTGGCCATACTAGGTGACTGGTGAGCAGGGAAGCCTTGGATCATGGAAGGTCTGGTGGCTTTCACATTCACGTGGTTTTCCAGCGGGCCACACACACTCATACAGATATTCTAGATGATCAATGAAGACATAAAGATGTTACACCCCCAGAAAGGACACCTGGACATGCACAACGTCTGCTGTCCATGACAGAGGTGCAGATTGCCAGCATCTCACAGGCTGGAGGGCCCCACCTGCTTCTCTGCTCTTCTCCTTGCCAGTCCCTTGTACCCATCTCTCTCCCTACACTGAAGAGACAGGGATATGGTTTCCAAACAGGTTTCCATCTCTGAAGTAGAGACAGTGTTCTCCCTGGTGGTCTTTTGTTGTCCTGGCCCACCTTCAAAGGGTCTTTGAAATCCAAGGGACTAAAGTCCATCTTCTGAATACATCAGGAGAGTAAAACACATCTCAGTGAAAGATCTCTGGGACTTTTACTCTTGGCGCCTCCTAGATGTCCAGGTTTGGGACATCACCCTTTCTCTTCCTGCCTGTGCTCCTAGCTTGGGAACATTAGACTTATTTGACTTTGGGCAAGCTTATTTGCCCTGTGCTCAGTTTCCCCTGGAGAACGAATCAATAGTCCTACCTCGGATGGCTACAGTCAAAGAGGAAAAAGGCTTAGCAGGGTTGGTGGATCATCACAGTCCCTGGGGAAGGACAGTGGCTGTTGGTGAAGCTCCAGAAGCCCTCTTCACAGTATAGCATGGGGCCAGGGTCAGTGGGCCCTGAGGTGGGGACCTGGTGAGAATGCTCCTGCGGCTCCGGGCAGATCTTTCATTGTGTCTGTTGGTGGCCATTGGGCTGTGTGCACCCTGAGTCCTGCAGGAGGCCCTATGCTACTACTACGGAAGGAAACTCATCTGGGACCCAACCTGGGGGACAGGAGTCGGAAGCATGGTCCCAAAGCACTGTCTCCAAGGACACAGGCCTGGTCTATAGCATCACTCCACCAACACCAGTGCTTAGCACCCTCCAGAGTGCCACATGAATGTAAGCTACAAAATGACAACCTCCACGGTGACCCCAGCCTCCCGGCCACCTGCATGGCGAAGTTACTGTTTGGCACAGCCCACCAGCTCATCCTCTTCAAGGCTACCTTGTGTCCCTGGCCTCTGCGGGCCCAGTGCTCGGGCCCACTGAAAGCTCATGGATCTGTGAGCTGCTATCACCCAAAGGCCTCTGTCCTCTTTGCCTGGAAACCCTGGGTTTCACCCCACCCATACCACCTACTGCATTCTGGGCACCTCCACTTCTGAGAACACACGTCAGGCAGAATCGGGTGTTTTATAGAGCAAAAATACATGCACATTTGTTCAAACAAGCAATCCAACTGTGATTAACCAGACATGGAGGAAGGGCCTGGTGGAGGGAGGGCTGAGAGGAGTTTACACAGTGAAGCCCACCCCATACCTGTAACAAAGCCGGGTGGGAGGAGCTGACCACCTCCTGGTTGTTCCTCACGACTTCCTCTGGGTTCAGTGTGGAGAAGTTGATTGGCATGCTTTCTTCTTTCTCTTCTGGCTGAGGTCTAGTTTTCTTGCTGCTCTTCAGTGCTCTCAAGAAGTCAAGGTAATTGATGGTATTATCATGGCAGATGATTCCCAAACTTGTCCCCACAAAAAATAAAAGGATATATTAATTTTAAAAAATCTATTGGCTATCTATTCAGCAAATAGTTGCTGAGCACAAAGCAATGTGGGGAAAATGAATTGTTTTATGACACTGTTCCCTGCCCTCTGTCATTAGACAGGCACACAAATGCTGCCAGAGATGGCAACAGGGGAGGGCCACGAGAGGTGAGAGGAGAGAGGGCCATGCCACAGGGGGCTTGTCCTGAAGACCTGGAATATGAGCACAGGACAGCAGGGATCACAGCTTGGAGAGCAGAAGACAGTGAGGGGGAAGCTGGGCAGGCAGCAAGGCCTTGGTGAGGATGTGACATTTGCAGATCAGTCCTGTAGGGTGGGGTCACACCTGACAGTGGCTTCAGAGATGGTGTGGAAGTGAGGCTGTGGGGGGGTGGACAGCAAGGGACCCAGACAGGAGCTCTTGTGGCCATTGAGGCCGTAACCGATGAGGCCTTGCACTGAGACACAGGGGAAGAGGGAAAGAAGGAGACTGCTCAGGGACAATGCAGAGGACAAGAGGGAAGGAGAAAAATAGGCCAAGTTTCTTGTCAAGAATGGTGGAAAGGAAGCTGCCAAGCCAACAGCTCTCCAAAGATATTTATGTAAGACTTGTGTAACCTAGGATTTTCTCAAAAAGTCCATCTCATGTCTACCACCACCAGGAAGCTCCCCAACATTGAACCAGAAGAAATGGGCTTTCCACTCTGGAGGGGTGGACTGTAGATAAAACCCAAAAGTTCCCTGAGGAGACAGAACATATTTATTAAGGATCTAAAATCATGCAACATAGAGTTGCAACACGTTCCAAGTTCACATTTCTGTAACTCAACTCTTGGGCCATGACTGGCACTCAAGCACATAAACACTCTTTCACCTGGATGGGAAGCAAATGTCAGGGTGGGGTGTCGGTGAGATGGAGAGAGAAGTTCCAGTGACTCAGATCTGCTTCTAAGACGTGGATCCAAGAGCGGAACGCTCCCAACTCACAGCTGCAGTGCAGGGGCATTCAGCCCTGGGATGGGTCGGTTCCAGCCGGGGGACACGGAGGAAAAGGACAATCAACACTACTTCATCAGCATGGTATTAACATGGAGGAATAAAATCAAATGCATATGCTAATCTCCCCTATATTTAGAAAAGTCTATTTTGGATCTAGAAAAGAATAATCCCCATGTAATTACCAATAGCCGAGATGTTTATCATCAAGAGGTCTTTGAGAAGAAACAGGCAACTGCATGGCGGATTCCTATTAAGGTTACAGTATGTAAAAATTTGATCGCTCTCATTGAAAGGTGGATTACAGAAATTCTGCAGTTCTTTGTTGTTGTTTATAAAAGTAGCAAGCCTAACTATTAGCTTAATAAGACTCTCATATAATCATTTAGTTAATGGTTTATCTGTGGCTACTTTCTCATGATTTATTCATCAAATTCATATTCATTTTATTCACTTGGAGATGGATTCAGTGAAAGAAGATTGTTTAAGAAACACAAGAACATATAAGCATTTGAGGATGAAATGGTTGTCACTTTACACACACACACGCAAACACACTACACATATGCAAACACATATGCAAACACACAGCATTGGACTTCTCATAGCTTGAACACAAAGGAGTGATATCTTCAAATTTTTTCAAGAAAAATGATTTTCTCCCTAGGATTCTAGGCTCAGAGAAGCTAACAATCTGTGTGAAGAAAATCTTTTTAAAAAGATTCAGGCAAAAATAACTCAGAAATTTTACTTCCTTTCTTGTCTTTCTTAGGAAATTACTTCAGGAGGTAAATTACTCCAGCAAGAGAAGAACGTAAATGGAGAAACAAAAAGATGTGGTATGGAGGGAAGAGGGGACATGTATAGAACTTAGAAGTGTCACTCTCATCCTAATAGCAAGAAAAACCAGAACAATCTTTCCTGGACTCAGAAGAGAGCTGAGGTCACGGTGGAAATGTCACCCTGAAATCTGGAGGGGACACATATCCAGAGACTCAAAGCTGGGACTGCTCTTCTGGGGGAAAAGTCTTTGGCACCATGAGCTGGTAGGAACAGGTGAATGGTAATCTTGACTAGCTAGTTGAGGCTGAGAATGAGGGAGATACCTAGGTCTAGACTCAAGCACCACCTGCCCATGGGCTTTCCCTGCAGGATCCTACCAGCTTCTCCCAGTGAAGACCTGAGGAAGATTCCCCTGGTTTGAGTTCCCCAGGACAGGGGAAGGGTCACCCTGCCCAGAGCCTTCTCTATAACACTTTCCAGGGGAAGAGACTTTAGCAGACCTCATGGCCCCAAGGAAAGGGCATGGCCCCCGTGTTATGGTTTATATCTGGATGTCCCCTGAAAGCTCCATGCAGTCAAAGGTGGGATTTTTGGGAAGGTAATTGTCTTGAGGAGGCAGTAGAGCTAAATTCTGTGTTATGAGGTGAGGCGTGGCTGGAAGAGGTGGAGCAGTGTGTCCATGAAGGGTTTATCTCCTTCCTCAGCTCTTTCTTTGGCTCTCTACTTCCTGTCCGCCATGCTGTGAGCAGCTCTCTTCTGCCTCACTGTCCTTCTTGGGGCCAGCTGTCCATGGAGCCAAATAAATCACTCTTCCTTTACTTTGTGGGTATTGCATATTTTGTGTTAGCAACAAGAAAAGTAGCTAAGACACTCCTTTAGCCCCCTCAAGTCTTCCTGTCTTAACTAGAGGTGAAAAAAAAGCTGAAAGACACTTCCAATTACAGCCCAGGGACTCAGACCCCCTCAGAGGCCTAGATCCTGAGGTTACAGAACATTTCCCCTGCCTAAGCCAGTCCCACACACTGGTGTAATCACAGTAGATTTTGACACACAGAGCTGCAAAACACACTTGACTTTGGAGGCAGTTTCTGGTGAAACCCAAAGAAAACAGGAGAGACAGAAAAAGGGACACTGGGGGGACTTTGGCCACCGGCACTGCTGCCACGGCAAAGAGTAAGCATCCAGCAAAGCGCCAAGTATCCACTCTACAGGACCTCGTCCTCCCCCACTGCCATACATTGTGGCTGGCTTCCACACCAAGACTGCAGGACGTTCTAACAGTGGGACAAGAACAGTCTGAAGAGACAAGCGCGCCTCAGAGCCAGCCTCTGTGAGGACACATGTTTTGGGATCACTAGACTGAGGATTTTAAACAACGGTAAGATAGGAAGAGCTAAGCTGGAAGAGTGGGTGCCACGCAAGGACAAACGGGTGTTGTGAGCAGAGAGACGGAGGTGCTAGAATCAACAGGATGTGCTAGAAAGTGAAAGGGGAGAAACAGAAATGAAGAACGTCCATGTGGGTGCATCAGGTGACAAGGTTGGGGAAAGAAGAATCAGTGAGCTCACAGTACGTGGACAGAAATCTCTCAAACAGAAATGCAAAGTTAAAAAGAATGGAAATAAGAAAACAAGACAGAATATCCAAGAACTATGGGGAAACTCCAAAAAGATCTGTTTAATTAAAACATCCAGAAAAAAAGAAAGGAACAGAAAAAGCATTTGACGTCATCATGGCTGACTTAAAAAAACACACAAAAAACTTGCCAATAGAGGAAGAAAGACAGGAATGACATTGGACTTCTCACCAGGAATCATGAGAAAGAAGAATGTGTTGAAAGAAAAAAAAATCATCAACCTAAAATTCTGTCTGGTGAAATGAGCCTTCAGAGGTGAATTGAGGGAACACGACCTGGGTTTCTCTGGATTATTTTTCAGCTCCTGAACAGACAGAAAGTTCCATAACCTACCCCCAGGCAGCTCCTGGCAGCAGGAGACCAGAATCCTCCCAACAACAAGGCCTAAATGGTACACAGTAATGGAATTTCACATCAACAACAATTTTTAAGCATAACTATATCCCAAGTACTGTGTGGTACATACTTACAGAGTGGACCCTTGACTTATGAACTCAATTCGCTCTCTAGGGCTGATTGTAGCTCAAGTTGGTCAATTGAAGGCTCAGGCTCCTCTACACATCCTTCAAAGTCTCCCTCCTATATACAGGCAGATCTCAGTGTCCTTAGAGGGACATTGGCCCAGGATTTCTCAATGAACTCCACAGGAAAGGATGTTGTCATGTTCCTTCCAGAACTCTTTAAGGGTTAAATCTGTATCTGAGACTAAGATCATCTGGAACCACAAGTATCTAGAATTCGGGTCATAACTGAAGACTTTGGTCATAAGTTAAAACTAAACTTTTGGTCGTAACCCAATTTATTCATGTGTCAGGCTAGTTGTAACTTGAGGGTCCACTGTATTTTTTTTCTGCTTAGTTTATTGGTACATTTTAGGTATACAATACAGTTACATTCATCATTGGGATCTTGTACCTTTACATGAGTATCTTGGTTCTTATTTTTTCCCCCTTCCCCTGCCCTCCCTTCACCCCTTCCACCCTTCCCTATTTACAAAGACTTTGTTTCCATGTTTTTCCTTTTCTCATATTTTTTCTTTTCCCTTCTTTCCTTTCCCCTACCCATCTCACTTTCCCTACTCCTTTAGACATTTTCTTCCTATTTCACAATTATCAATTACACATTTTGATTCTTTTTTTTTTTTTTTTGGTACTGGGGATTGAATTCGGGTCCTTGCGCTTGCGCAGCAGGCCGCAGGTGGCGAAACCACTGAGCTAAATCCCTGGCCCTACATTTTGATTCTTATTTACATTTTTAGTTTTTCCCACCAGAGAAACTATT